CTTTAACTTGTATTTGGCATGTCAGCATTAATGCTTATAAATATCAGGTTAATGATTCATTTTAGAGGCTTTGATGCATGCGCTTTTGTAATTATACTTTTATTATGTAACTAACTTTGAGTTCTTGTACTTTTGAGGGAAAAAAAAAAAGAAGTTTGAGCATATTTTGGACTTCATTGTTATAGATGAACTTTAGAAGTACATGGTGGCTGACACTGGACCGGAGGGCGCTTGATGAATCCACATCGACGATCCGGTGACGGTCGTCGTCGGACACCACTCCAAAAACTTCTTGGAGAAAGAACCACCACCTAAGAACAAATCTTAGGATACAAGAATTCACAACAGAGTAAAACTCTAATTTTATTCATCTCCAAATCTCATCTCAATTAGAAGTAAATGCTACCTATTTATAGACAAATGTACCCCATAATAGGCTACACTCAAAAGAAGAGAGCACTAATCCTATGTAGCCATATAAGATACCAAATGAAATAAAACTAGCCTGAAGTTATCATGAATAAGCGGCTCAGCTCCGGCATCATACTACCGGGGTAGGAAGAACTGCAGGCTCGTAGGAAGATGTCCGGTTGGCCGCCATAAGGAGGTGGATTTGGTTGGCTAAACCGGTCTAAATATTCCCATGTCTTTGCACTCAGAACATCGTCAGGATCTTTGACCGAGAGTTCATAAGATGAGCTACCATGGATAAATTCCCACATAAGAATAGCATGCAAGGGCACGGGTGAAGTCGTCGTTTTGATTTCATGGTTGCTAGTCCTGTCATTATCAATCTTATGAGCTGCCTTTACTAGAATGTTGTTGATCTCCTCCGTTTGTAAGCATATCCCCAACATGCTATCTGCAGAACTGCTACCTGCCGAAGCCGCGTTTGAGTATGAAATGCTAATCTTAGAGTGGTCCACTGGAAGATCACGAAATGATAAGTCTAAGAACTCGATGTTTGACTTTGGGAGTGACTGAACAATAGATGGTGATTTCAGTTGTATGTTTAAGAGCATCAGTGGTTCTTTCTTCAATTGAGGAAACTTAACAGATTCATTTGATGCCCTCCATGGTGTGGAGTTGATGAGTTCAAAGGATAGAAAAGAATCGTCATTAATGTTATGTTGGCCTTCCCTCTTACTATCGTCATTAACATCATATGCAAGTTGCTCAAGCTCAAGAACTCCATCGAACATGTCGTCATCATACACGTTGTACACGGGCTCATAATTATAGAGGCACATACGACGATTTCGGCAATAGATCTTCAAATCTTTCAAAGCTGGACTCGATCGAGGGTGGGTTTGAAGAGATCTAATCATCTGAAATGCCCTCGTCATCGTCGTCGTCGTCGGTTCGTAAGGATCTTCATTCAATCCTTGACAATTGTCATTTGAGTCGAATAATTTCTTGTTGAAGATATTCTATTTCTGTGTCTTGAAGTGGTCGCTGATAACTCTAGCTAGGTGACATTTTGTCGAGGAAAGCAATGAACACCTAGACTGAATAGTAGGAGCAAAAAATAGCCTTCTAGATAAGGTAATCAGCGAGCAAGTAGATCACAATTCTTCCTCCTTCCAATTCATTATCCCGTGGTTCTTGTTGGCTGGCTGGCTCGCTCGTAGTGCAGCAAGAATCAGCAGCACCTGTCACCGACACCAAACAAGCACAACAAGTCTCGGCCAGCAAGATCAACAAGATCTTCAAAGCAAGTAATAGTTTCCAAGGGAGATGGGATGGACGTCCAGCATTGAGCGGGAGAAATAAAACATAATGAGAGATACCACCTGACGGAACGTCAGGATATAGATTTTCTTTCTTGATACAGATCAATGCATAATGCAAAAATTCACTCATACATATCCATCCTTCAATAGCTAAGCAGTGAAAGAAGCTTTACCTCTTCTTGATAGCCATGGATGTTTTGGCTTTTTTATTTCACCACTCATCTGGCCCTCTATATAAATGTTGGTTTCACCAGCAAATTCGAATTTTTAACATTGTATGAGATTTTCAGTTTCTGAAGGATAATTATGCAGGTTACAATGATATTCCAAATAGCTAGTTGTTTCTCTTATTCCATAGATTGTAAGCTAAGCACAACATAATAATAAAGTACTAACGCAGCAAAGTACTCCATCACCTGAGAAAGGTTTGGCCAAAGGATGAAAGCATAAAAGAGTAGAGGACAAAATATATAATTAAAGAAGAGGTGGTTGGCGTTCTCATCTTTAGAACTACAAAGAGGATATTGTGGATTAAAAAGTAAAAAAAATAGCGTAAAAGCATAAGCAATTTTAAAGCCTCTTTTTTTGGTGTTAAGCCCACCAAATGTAAAGTGGTCCAAAAGTATTGTGTTTATGTCAAACCTTGTTAATCAAGTGATCATCAGAAAGATTTGAGTAGATAACTTCGTTGAAATCCGTAAGATTAGAGAATGAAATTGTTACTTTCCTTAAAAAAAAATTCATATTATTATTAGTGCATATTAGAAAATCCACGATAGTAGAGTGAGATTTTTACGTCATAATTTTACGTTCGAAAGTTGTGGTCTAACACCAGTAGTCCAAAAGTGGTTCAACAATGACGGTTAGACAATGGATCAATGGTGGCAGTCAAAGCATAAGTCTGTCACTGGCAGTAAAAAAATAGTCTAATGTAGTTCTCGGGCGAAGCTCTAGATTTTTTTTTAATAAACTTTCTTGAATCTCAAGTCAATGGTCACTTCATTTAAAGAGTGCGACCTATTTATAAAATTTTAGAGTTGTATGCATATTAAATATAGTTAAAATCTGGAACACTCCTTTGAGCTACATATGTTGATTCCCTTATTTATGAATCATTATTTCAAAATTTAAGTGTCTTAGTGATATCAAAATTAAAGAATCTTAAGCTCATTGGATTTGTCTTATTGAGCAGCTCCATTTGACTATAAGCATACAAAATTTGTAGATAATTTTATTGTTGGATATTGATCTAAGATTTAGGTAGTTTCTCCTTTTGTAGCTTTTTTGTTGCTTTTTGTTGCCTGTAAATAGGCTATAGGTTGTAATAGGGGAAAAATTTAAATAAAGCTTAGTTTTATTTCCTCCAAATTATTGTGCATTCCCCCCCCCCCTCTCTCTCTCTCAAGCTAACATTTATCATTTAATTAATGTTAAAAAGTTTTCAATTATGAGTAGTGGAGTTTTCAAACTAACTTTAAGCAATGGGGTGTAGATATTCTCTAATGAAATTTTTGAGAACATTTTAGTGGTATGATTGCCATAATAAATAAATTTAGAACAAATATTGTAAACTTCCTCACTATGCTATTAGGAGTGAAAGTGGCATAATTCGGTATATAATTAATATCCAATAGACTAACTACTAAGCTCCATTCTGTCATCAAATGATAAAGATCTTTCATTCAAGTCATGAATTTTGTCAGGGTCATTAAAATTTATGTAAAGAAACTTTATGCTAATGATAAGCATACCAAGATAAATGAAAAGTAAGGGGCATAAATTAAATCCATGCATATAATTAAGAATAAAAGAGTATAATGCTTTTAAAGAATGAGATTGAACAGTATTGAGCATTAATTTACAATCTAGATAATCCAAAAAAAATTCAAATAATAATACAACTAATTAAAATTAGGTTGAAAAAATTAAAAAAAAAAACTAGCCAACATGTAACATATGTGACAAGTGTTGATGATCTATAGTAATGCTGAAGAAATTCTTTCAATATTAAGTTTTCATTTGTCAACCATATGATAGAAAGTATTCATAATCAAAAAAAAAAAAAGTCAGCTAGGTAACATACATGTCCTAAGCCATTAAAGAAACAAAAGTTCCTTTTTATTTAGCATTTATGTTAAGATAGTAGCATGTATTGGATGACTTCTCAATTAACATGATCAAATGAATTGTTAAAGCAAACTTAGCATGAAAGAGATTTTTTATTAGCATTATTGAAGTTTCTTCGGATCTCATTAGCAAACATGGTATTATTAAATATTTGTCTATAATTGATGAAAGCAAATTGGGATCAACCAGAATTTGGCAATAAAATTGTAAAAACTGTTGCATAATAATATAGATCTAAAGTTATTAATGTTGCTAATATGTGAGGTTTTGGGTTTGAGAGCAATAATAATAACAAACTTATTGAGTCTTCTAGTAGTGACAAACACTCAACAACGATACACAATAGTTACCAAAGGACCTACAATGACCAAGGTTGAAAAGAAGAATCTAACAATTTATATATCTAGATAAGTGCTATATATTGTTCTTAGTAGACTTAAGAACTACCAATATCCAAAATAGACGAGCAATGTATCATGTTTTCCAAAAGAAAGGAGGTCAAGATTTTTTAGAATGAATTAATTATTTGAAGACCAATGCTCTATATACCCCATCAAAATATCTAACATTCCTAGCATTTATTAGTGGGTTTCTATTTGAGTTAGTGCTATGATACAATGTTAGCATTTGGGTTTTTCATGGCATAAAGAAAACTTTAGGGGTGTCAATATTTGACACGACACGAAAATCCGACCCGGAAAATCCGGGTTGGACCCGACCCGATTTCAAAACGGGTCGGGTTCGGGTTCCAGAAATTGACGCGTTTAAAAAACGGGTCGGGTCCGGGTTGACCCGGTGGGTTGCCGGGTCAACCCGCCAACCCGTTTACCACACCTAATTATATTTAAATATATATATATATCTTCTGAGAGTAATTCTACAATTAAAATAAATTAACTTTAATTTTGAAAGTTCGTCTCAAAATTTGGACCTGGTTTCAAGCATACCTTATCCGGTTGACCTCAGCCATACCCGACCCGCCAAACGAAACCACAAACCACATATTCGATCCTACCGGTCAAGCAGGCCCGACAGCAAACCGTATCCGAATTTTGTTGACCATAGACTGTCATCTGCCACCGTTGATTCTTCCAGTTGTCATCTACATCTCTCCCTGTAAATATCTCCCTTGCCTCCAAAACCCTCCCTCCTCACGGTCCCGTGCCCTTCCTGGTGGCTAGGGTTTCTTCTCTCGCCGAACCCTTTCCTGCTCCTTCTCCTTATCTTACTAGGGTTAGATTTTGTATTCTCCGGAGGATTTTTCAGGCTTGCCTTTTGCTTGGTTTAGGGTTTTATCCTTCTCCTACGTTCCCAGGATGATGCAGCCACAGCCGATGAATCAGCAACACATGCAGAATTCGGCGATTCCTGTGCCGCAACAGCAGTGGGCGATGATGCAGCAGGCTCCTCATGCTCTTCACGCGCAGTATCCACAGGCCCAGCCTCCGACAATGTGGAATCAGCAGCCGTCGCAGATCCCTCCACCGGTGCAGGTGCCGGCGCCACAGCAGCATCAGCTCCCTCCGCAGCACATGTCGCATTACGCGCCACAGACCGGCGGGATGACTACAGGACAGATGCAGCAGCAGCAGCCGTCTCAGGGGTCTTCTGATGAGATTCGGACACTTTGGGTAGGGGATTTGCAGTATTGGATGGATGAGAACTATATCTACAATTGTTTTGCTCAGACCGGAGAGGTAGATAGCCTTTCTTCACCATGTTTTTTTTTTTTTTCAATATCATGAATTATTATTATTATTAGCTTTTGTTATTATGATTGCTGCTTTTTTGCTATCTGCTATGAATGCTTTTAATCGGCCGCTCTTTAGTTTTTGCATGGATGTTGTCAAATATCACTGCAAAGTAATATCGGCTGAACCTTATTTCCGCATTCTATAGGATTGGGACCATTTTGGTCGATACAATTCAAGACGCTTTATGGGGCTGCTTTCTTAATAACCAACAGTCTGCCTAGCAGCCTTGTTTGCTTTGTGTTACTGGTAAATTGGTCATTGGTGTTGCCAGGAAAAGGCTTATTTTCATTTGCGTCAGATTTGAACATTGTTTATGCTCACACATGTGCTGCTTCATTTTTTTTGTTTCTATGCTTTTACTTGAAGAGTTTCGAGGCATTTCAACTCTTCATTGGAGAGTGAACTTCTCATTCTCTTTAGCACGATTGGTTATTGTAGTGCTTAAGTTTTATTAAACCTCAATATCACAACTTATGGATAAAGATTGTCCATTCCTCTTACATATTGATGTCAGCCTTGTCCTTTTTTTCTGTTATTGTATCATATTTCTTTTGTAATTCTTGTTATATTGCAGTTTATAGAACACTCTTTTACCAAAAGATTTCTCTCAAAGATATTCTCTTGTCAGCGCATAAAATTATTGTGCTTGGGTGGTCTGCATGTGTTATGATACACTTTTTTTAGAGGTTCAACAAATCATTTTACTTAAAACATTCACCATGTTACTTGTTCTTGACATTTTTTGCTAACTCATTATAATTGACTCTTAACAGGACACAATGGAGAAAAAGAATTCATATCGCCGATCCCACGTTGTGGGATAAAGGCTTGGTGTTGTTATTGTTGTATTTTATGTTAGTAATAAATGAATGAAATTTGGTAATATTAATATTTTTATTTTGTTTGAGAAGAGTGATGAGTAATTCTGGAGTGCGCCTATTTTGCGTTATTCGTTGCATTCTATTCAAGCCATTAAGACTATGTGATTTATATTTAAGTATTATACAACAGATTCCTGTTATTGAATCCTTTGAGAACCTACTCATATTTTCTCTTCAAGTTTAGCTTTTTGGTATCGGGTTATGCAATCTAATGAATTCTTAGGATCACTTAATGCAACTGTAATTAGTTTTTTTCAATCTACTATAATATCCATTGTACCATCCTGTATTTATATTCTACTAAAAATATTCTTTGGCACTACTTCCAAGTTCCATCCATTTAAAAAAACATGGATATAACAGTACTAGAATGTTTATTGAGTTGTGATCAATGTTTAGGGGATATGCCACATTTTATTTCATCGTTACTTTTAATGCTGCAGCTTAATTTATACCTTCCACTAAAATACATTTCTCTATTGATACGCATGGAAAATGAATGCAAATATGACATTTAACCGCACATGCTTGTATTTATGAAAACATAGTTATTCATAATGGTTATTTAATATTGTGCGTCTTTTATTTGGTATATTGAATGGATATACTTGTTCGACCTATTTGTGGAGTGAAATTGCAGTCTTCGCTCTCTCACTTTGCTAGCAGTAATATTGAATAGCATAAAATTTTTGTGTGGGATCATTGAAGGGAAGTGATTCCAAACTGGATAAAAGTATTACTGATTATATCTTGATCATTTGCCTCTTTGTCTTTAAAGGCTTGAAATTTTTGAAACACTCTTTTCTAAAAGGTTATAATTGCATTTATATGGATACTTTGCTCTAACTTGTTATGTTGGGAAATAAAATCATTTTTACATTTGTGAATAATATTGAATAACACATTGTTATGCATGATATGAAGTCAATCCCACTGTTATTTGTTACAACTGCTTCATGAGTTGTATAAATCGAACCAAATTATGAGTTTGAATCTTTTCATTCCCAATTGTGGACTCTAAGGCTCTTTATGAAGCATCATCTATTTTTCATATGCTATTTTCTTTTGTTTCTGGCTGTCCTTTAAATTTTCTGTCAAAGTTGAATGACGATATTGACGATTGTCTCATATTTCTTTGGTATTGGTCTTATTTATCATTGAAGTGGAATATAGTCCATTTTTCAGTGCACTATTTTTGTTAACAAATTTCTTGCAATTTGTTTTTATGTCAGTCTCAGCATAACTTGTAATAAATGTTTCACAGGTTTTATCTGTGAAAATAATTCGTAATAAGCACACCCAACAATCAGAGGGTTATGGTTTTATTGAGTTTGCATCTCGTTCAATGGCACAACAAGTTCTTCAGACATATAATGGTCAGATGATGCCTAACACTGAGCAGCCCTTCAGATTAAATTGGGCCTCATTGGGGACAGGTGAGAGACGAGGGGACGATGGTTCTGATTATACGATATTTGTTGGTGACTTAGCTTCAGATGTTACGGATTACCTCTTACAAGAAACATTCAAAACTCGCTATCCCTCTGTTAAGGGGGCCAAAGTTGTCACAGATAGAGCAACTGGACGTTCGAAAGGTTACGGTTTTGTTAAGTTCGGAGATTTAAATGAGCAGACTCATGCTATGACTGAAATGAACGGAGCTTTTTGTTCTTCAAGGCCCATGAGGATTGGTGCTGCATCTAACAAGAATAATGCAGGTATTCAGCAGCAAAATCCTACAAAAGGTATGCTTCCTTTTGATGCAAAATGACTTGTTATATTTTTACTTTGACCTTATTTAATGAGGATTTTTTTTTGGAAGTATTTTGCAAGAAATTTGTGTTTTGTGTTGCTATGCCAGCCTACTATGTTTAAATGTTATAAATTCAACGAAAACGGTATTGCTTCAATAGTAATTCGCTTCCTGCTAGATTCCTTTGTGAAGCAGGTTACATTCACACGTGATTCTAAGTAAATAAATCTTATAAGATTCATATTCTTTCAAAGCAGGGCAACTTGAGGCCAATGATTGTTTAGGCCTGGAACTGACTTCTGAGAAGCTCTTCTCCTTTAGTTCGAGCCTCAATTAGGTCAGTGTCATTGATTATGTGATAATTTGACAAAAGAGCGAAGATTATCTATTTTCTTCTCCAATTTGACTTAGTAAGAAGTTTTAGCTTGATTTACTTAATTTAGTTCTTTACATCAGTAGAGATGTCTACCAACTAAAATTTCCTTTTTTTTAGCTTTTCAGGTCTACTTTTTATTCCAAACAAAAGTCAATGTTAATGGCTTCCGGTGGATTTATTCCTTAAGTTATTTTTGTTCTTCGCTAAAAAAAGTTTATAATTGTGGATAGATACAACCTTTGATATTATTTCCTTATCAAATGGTGTTTCTCCTTTGATTTCATTTCTCATTAGATATGAGTTATATTTTGAGTTGGCTTGGTGCGAATTTTTTTTCCTTTTGGTTAAGTAGCAATGTTCTTTCAATCAAAGACAATGAAGTGCAGGAATTTAAGGATGATCCATATTTTGTGAATCCAGGTATTTGGCAATGATTACAAATAATAAGATTGAGTGTGGAAGAGATGAAAGCATTTAGATTTGCGTTGTAGAGCTAGAAAGGATAGATTGCAAATTATGATAATAGAATTAAAGATTGGGTGTATGCATTATATTGAAGAAGATTGGAGTAAGTAGATAGAACAAGACGAGCAAGTAGATTTAAATTAAAAGAATATGAAGAAAAAGTCACAGGCCAAAGTTCTTGTGGATAGAATTTATGAAAAGCTTTGCATACATCCTGTTAAACAGGACATGCTAAAGTCACTATAAATGAATGGTGAAGGAGAATTTGTAAAGATAGTGTTTCGTTCCAATGAGTCTAACTATGTTTATTATGATGATTGGGGTGATGGTGATAGTAATGACGCATCACTTAACCTATTTTTCATTGAAGGTTTAACTCTCTTTAATTGACATTTTGAAGTCAATGTGCCCTTTCATGCATGTGGTGCCCAACCCTTACATAGTCATGCCATGTTATGCTATGTTGTCTTGTGCTTGAATAAGATGTTTTGAAACCTTTTTGAGATTCATTTGAAGCCATGAGAAACACTTACTGAGGCATATTTGATTTTTTTTATACGTGTTGAGGTTTCTAGAGTATATGCATGATTTAACGTTAATATGGTTCAATTTTAAGTTACCTACATTTTGCTTGAGATAACATTCTTATTTTATTAATTTTATTATATATATATATATATATATATACGGAGATCTAACAGACATACTAATAAAAGGGTAAGAGATCAAAGTTTTTACATGGAAACCCTTGAAAGGGAGAAATCACAGGGCATGAACTAAGTAAAATAGTTCCTTATTTTTATCTGGTTACAAATGAAGCTCTCCTCAAGGGAATGCATTGATAAAATACGTATTATATTTTATGAAGTGGGAAGAGCCCTTTGGCAGGAATCCAACATAAATCCAAGTGTTGAAGTTGGTAGTTAAGATTGATGCTAAGATCATGCATCAATCTTGTCAATCATGTAAGCGATGATGCACATTGGCATATCGATGATTGTAGATGAAGTTGGTAGGCATTGGAGTAGCCAGACTACACTGGTGAGGAGATTATTGGTTACTGGACTGTATTCGTCCGATGGTGGTAAGAGAATCTTAGTCTATGAGTGATGGAGGTCAAAAAGACTATAGTTAGGCGATGGTGGTCGGAAGATTGTTGTCGGACAATGGTGATTCGAAGATTGTAGTCGACGGACGACAGTGATCGGAAGATCCAAATCAGGCAACAATGGTTTGAGTATCATAATTAGCGGATGATTGGGGTCGAATGAACTGTTGTCAAACGACAATAGTCGGAGGAGCATAGGTAGGCAGTGGTGGTCCGATAACCATAGTTGGTTGGCAATGGAGGTCGAAGGACCTTAGTCGAACAACAGTGGTTGGAAGACCATAGTCGAGTGACAGTGGTCTAAGGATCGTAGTCGGGCGACTATGCTTCGAGAATTGTAGTTGTCATATGTTCCAAATTTGACAGTGGCCGCTTGGCAGAGGTCCAGTGGTGGCAGTTGGGTGTCGAAAGTTTGGTGACGATCACCGGTGAGGGTTTGCTCGATTGAAACTTTGGGATTCCTTAAATTTTAAATCCGTCACTTTATCAATTTGCTTATTTTAGTTTATTTTATGTATATATCTTTGTTCTTTAGCTTAGCATATAGAATGCCATGTAACTTTTATTTTCTTTCTGCTGAGAACAAAATTGAAGGAATGAATGAAAGCTTAAAAGAATATCATTGAAAACATATTTTTGATGTAACGTATACTTGGTTGTATTGGTTTGCAAGAGGGAATGGGTCTTCAATTTGGTGAGTCGATAAATAAGATCATATTCCATAAACCTTCAACAATCTTTTACTTGGAGATTGATCAATCTGACACTTGCAAATGATCATACTATTGAAGCTAATGCTTATAAGAAAATTATAAGCCTCGTAGAATTAAGAATGTGGTGAAAAATATTATTTTTTTATGTTTTATACGATAAACTTGATATGATGGAATGAAAAAAAATAAAGCTATATAGAATAGTTAAGAACTTAAGGCACATGATGAGTTTCAATTTAGATGCATTATGAGTGAAGATAGTAGGGTTAGATATGAAATTATCAAGGACATATGAAAATGATATCTTGAGAAATTATTAAATGCAAGTTTTAACAGAGTATATTATATTGGAAGAGATTTTTGAACTAAATAGTAAGACATATTATAGATTGATTAAAAAAGTGAAATTGCTTTTGTTTTGATGAAGATGCATAAAAAGTAAAGTATTAGGCCTATGTAAGATACTGAGTTTTGAAGAGATATTGGGGATATAATTGTGGTTGGATTAACAAAGTCTTGCGTGAAAAGTATGTTGATGTTGTTAAAGCTATATTATAATTGTTTCTTTGGTAGTTTATAAGTAGTTCAAGATCGGCCAAAGAGGATCTGATGACAACAGAATTACATCATGTTTGTGGATGACAATTGTACTAACACTATAGAAAATGCCGAGTAAATAGAGGATTTAAAATTAATGGAGTAAAATTTGAGTATATCTAATGCAATTTAATGGTTAATTAATATTATTAAAAGATAAAGAGATAACCATATATTTGATAGGCTTAACCAACATTGGATCTATTATACAGAAAAAAATAGGATACAAATGAGAATATAACTTCTAATGCTATTGTTTAATGGTTAAAATAATTAAGTGACACATAAGTATTAAATATAAAAATTTTATTTAGCCTTGAATATAAATAAAATTTGCAATGATTTTGTTTGAATTGAGTGTTAGATTGTAAAAATGTTATTAATAACCAATTTTAGCATGAAAGAATAAGAATGATAAGATGTATTTGTGGAAATACTTGAAGAATATATTAAGGAATGATTTGTTAGAGAAATTTTTGGAGTGACTTCTAATGCAGATGAAGTATTTGAAAATAGATTTGAGTGGTTAGAAAATGCACAAACGGGATGTTTAGATGAAATTAGTATTAGAGGATTAGAAAGAATAATGAATTGGCTTTAAGTAGCATGCATAGAAATATTTAAATTGATTTGCAAAGAATAGGTTTAAGACACCTCATGCAACACTCAATAGGAATGAATTAAAACTAATTTTTATAAAGTTGACCGCAATTAGATGGGATAAAGCTAATGAATTGTAGTGATGGAGGTTTCCATCAAAATTGTTTGTGGTGCTCATACCAACTCCTGGTTCTTTATTTTGCAATTCATCACTTCATTGAATTGCTTGGCTAACTCTTTGCATCCTCCATAGTTTTATACATATGTTGGCAAGTAATTTCTTCCTTCTTTCCAGATTAGAATATTTTTTCGGGGAAACTATTCGAGTATTATATGGAATTTGTTAGAATATTTCTTTCTAATTGTTTTTGTTTCACTGGTTTGTTTTAAAACTTATTTTACAAAGTTTGATTTCGTTGTGATCGCTGTGCGATTTATGATTGTACAAGGGGAGTAAAATTATTCCTTGCTTTGATGAGGTATTTGACCATTAGCGTTTCTGGTTTATGTTGCCTTTAGCATTCTTTTTTTTTTTCGAAAATTGAATGCATTTTGTTTTGCTTAGTTTTAGCTTGACTGCACTTCCATATAGGGGGATTAGTTTTAAACAAAAAATAGGTACTTCTGGAATTTCATAAAGCTTGTCTACTTAGTACTTACTGGAATAGGTAACTATGGAATCACAGAAGCAAATGTCTGTAGGCACACACATTCATGTCGTTTACTTAACACATTATTGTTTACGTGTATATATAATTACTCTCCACAGCTTACCGTTTGTGTAATATTCATTTTCTTGAGCCCAATGTGGCTTGAACATGTAATCTACATTTGTTAACTAATTTTTATGATAATGTTTTGAGCACTTCACCAAAATCGATATTTGCAGCATCTTACCAATCTCAACCAGGAACTGATTCTGAGAATGATCCAAATAATACCACTGTGGGTACTTTTTGCCTCTAAATTTCTTCATAAAATGTTATACGTATGCTTAGAAGCTTGTTATAATGTTATTTATGACAGATATTTGTTGGTGGTCTTGATTCAAGTGTTACTGATGATCTCTTACGGCAAGTATTTAGCCCATATGGGGAATTGGTTCATGTGAAAATTCCTGTTGGAAAACGTTGTGGATTTGTTCAATTTTCAAACAGGTTTGAGTTTTCTTTTTGGTCTGGTTTGATGTGTTTGTTAGCATTTCAAAATCTACAACTTCGGTTTGCTGATTGGCGTTTCTACAGAGGAAATGCAGAAGAGGCCCTTCAGATGCTAAATGGAACTCCTTTGGGTGGTCAGAATATTCGACTTTCATGGGGTCGAACTCCTGCAAATAAGCAGGTTGTCTTTTGTTAACAGGGACTTCTGACAATGTTATTTGTTTATTTGGATTTTTTTAATTTGCAATTTGATTTATTTTTTTGGTCTTTTCCAGTCACAACAGGAGCAAAACCAATGGAATGGTAATTATTATGGATATTCTCAGGGCTATAATGCATATGGATATGCCCCACCGCAACAAGATCCGAACATGTATGCATATGCATCGTACCAGGGGTATGGAAATTATCAACAGCAGTCAAATCAACCGCAGCAGGTAATATACACTCGAATTATAATCATCATAGATCTGGAAGTCTGTAAATGTGATATTTTCTTCTTTTTGGAATTATATATATAATGCCCCTCTCATGGACACACAGATTTTATAAATACATTTAAATAACACAATTTATAATGTAATATATTATAATAAACATTAAAATTATATGCATAGTAATGATTAATTGAAATTTATTTATTATATATATGATTTATAATGTATCATATAAGAAATTGTTAATTTCATATGATATATCATGCAAAATAAAGAATAAAAAGATATATAAATTATTTTAAAAAAATAATATATATTTGTAAAGTTTAAAATACATTTGATATTTCATGTACGCTCGTATATATGCACGTAAATGCGTGATTGATTTAGTAAATTTCACAATTTCTCATCATCATAATTTTATTTGCTTCCAAATTAGAAAAAAAAGTAAATTTTGATCATCATTAGCCTTATTTCAATTATTTATGTCTGCCTGCATGAATCATTTTTTTTAGGAGGTAGATCCATGTTTCACCAATTTTAACCTTTCTTGGAACAGTAGTCTAATTTCAAACAACCAAATGAACCCGAGGGTTGCGGGTTGACCAAATTGATATATCATATGAAATTAACAATTGCTTGAGGAAACTCTGGACTTATCTAGATTTCTTTTATGTCCATACTTGCAATTTTATATTGTATAATGACTTCTTGATTTTGGAAGATTGATCTAGAATTTCAAAGGGTCTAGTATTAGATAATAAGTAGACATGTTTGTAGAATGAAGGATGAAGCGGTTATTGAGGAAAATTAATGATCTTTTACGGAATAACAAAAATAATAAATATTATTGAGGCACACAATAATTATATGGAATTTAGAAGTTTTGCAAAACTGACATTAAGAAAAGCCAAAATTTTAACTCTTCATGATTTGGATTTTAGATTTAGGTACTTATGGAGAAAAACACATGAAATGCTTACAATGAGTTGCTGTATTTAGAAACTTTTGTGGATTTAGATATATTTTAGAGTAGGGGTGTCAAAGCCAGGTTTCGGGTCGGGTATGGGTCGAACCCGAAACTGACCCGGGTTCAAACGCGTCAACCCTAACCCAACCCGGGTATATAAACGAGTCGAAAATGCGGACCCGACCCGTCGAGTTGCCGGGTTGACCCGACCCGACACTGGACGACAGAACGCGTGGGTGCGCGCAGGCAAAGCTGCACGGGCAGGGCTCGGGCAGCCGGGGCAGGTTTGTGGGCAGCTCATTTTAAATGGGTTTCTGTGTTGACCCAACAACCCGTCGGGTCAACCCAAACCAGACCCGTTTTTCAAAAGAGTCGAATCCTGGAACCCGAACCCGACCCATTTTGAAATTTGGTCAGGTCAAACACGAAATTTTCTGGTCGTCGGGTTTTCATGTCATGTCAAATATTGACACCCCTAATTTAGAGTATATGATTATATTAACAAGATGAAAACATAAATGAAATATTATAAATGTTGTTTTGTTTGGTTATCAAATGGGAGTTTTAATATGGATATTTCTTTAGACGCAAAAGGAAAATACATGTATATTTTGAATTATAAATGAAGTTAAGTTAGTTTTTATAAAAAAGCATAAATGTAAACTTTTAGGTCCAAAGGAGGGGTTTAGTTTCTAATGGCTTGGCAGATACTAGAGTAGTTGACTGACAAATGTTCTGCTGAAATTTTGGCTATGGATTCCAAATCATTAGAAAGGAAATTTGATTTTAGTTGCTTAGAATTAATAATTTAATATAACTACAATTATGTTGACTATTTTATATGGTTTTAAGTGTTAAGGTTGGAAAAAAGTTGATCACTAGGTTGTGTGGTAGAAATGAGAGTATTAAGATTACTTTTTGTAAAATTAAGAAAGATAGTTTAAGGATTGATTGTCTTAGATGAAGATTTGATGATATCTATTTAAGATATGGTAATTAAAAATTGCATTAACTAATACATATACAATAAAGGGCTGAAATTTTTTTAATTTGATGAGTAAATAAAATTGATATTATTGGAATTTTGAATTATGAAATGAAGTTGAATTCTTTTCATAAAGTCTAAATGTAAAATTTTGGGTCCAAAGAAGTTTATTAGTTTTTAATGGCTTGGGAGATACTAGAGCGGTTGATTGACAAATGTTGTTGATGAAATTTTGTCCATAGATTCCAAATCATTATAGAGGGAATTTAATTTTGGTCTCTTATAATTAATAGTTTAATATAACTACAATTATTTTGACTATATTATATAGTTCTAAGTGTTGGGTTGGAAAAGAGTTGATCGCTAAGTCATGTGGTAGAAATGAGACTGTGAAGATTATTTTTTGCAAAATTAAGAAAGATAATTTAAGAATTTATTGTCTTAGATGAATGATTTGATGAAATCTATTTAAGATATGATATTTAAAAATAAACTTACGTAACTAACACCTATACAATGAAGGAAGAAAAATGCTTTAATTAGATGGGTAAATAAAATTAGTATTAAGGGGATTTTGAATTATAAAATGAAGTTGAATTAGTTTTCATTAAAAAACATAAATGTAAAATTTTAGGTCCAAAGTAGTAGTTTATTAGTCTTTAATGGCTTGGGAGATACTAGAGCAGTTGATTGACAAATGTTCTTGATGAAATTTTGGCTATGGATTCCGAATCATTAGAGAGGGGAATTTTTTTTTTGGAGAGAGTGGAAATAATAATTTAGTATAAATACAATTATGTTGACTATGTTATATGGTTCTAAGTGTGGTAGATTGTTAAGAATACTTTTTACAAAATTAAAATAAGAAAATTTAAGGCTTGATTGTCTCAGATGAGCGGTTTGATAATATATATTTTTAAGATAAGGCAATTAAAAATATATTTAAGTAACTAACACATATACAATAAAGGACAGAAAAAAGCTTTAATTAGATGGGCAAACAGAATGATAGTAAGGGATTATGAAGTAGAAGTTCTAGACTTAGGGGTGGTTTTTCTTGGAGGGTTTTGGATGTAGTGCATTCTAAATGCAAGAGTTTAAAATTTTTGGCATTTGGTGAGCTAAAAAACATATTCAAAGTAAAATTTTGAGGTATTTGAAACTCTTCCCCTAGTTCATTTTTTGGCATATTTCTAAATCACCCAATTCGGGTTATTTTTGAATACATAGTGTCATCTTTCACACTTGCAGTTGCCACGTTGCCGCTAGATGACGCCAACGCCTTCCTCCACTCCTCACTTCCCACTAATGCCTTTCGGTGTCATTACCCCCACCCGCCTCCTATCACTACGCAGTGTCCCCCACTATTGCCACCCATCACTACCAACTATCGTTGCCCACCTTTGCCAATCATTTTCTATAATGCTCACATTACAAATGCATCATAACTAGGGATGTAAATGAGTTAGTCAGGCTTGAGTCACAACTAGCTCCAGTTTGAGCTCAACTTGTGAGGGAGCAATGCAGGAAAAAGCAGGAAAAAATGGTGATACTTATGGGAGATGCTACTCGAGCTTGTTAGTGAATGCATTGAGCCATTGAGGGAGCAGTGTAGGAAGTTGTGATTGGTGTTTTCTTAAGAGGGCGTTGACGGGAGTCCTGGTGTTTGAAGACAAAATGGCATTCGCAAAGGAGTAGATTTTGTGAGATTGGACCAACAACAGATGTCTAGTCTTAGTATTAGGGCTCGACCTCGAAGATAAGTCTATAGGTGGTGGAAGGCTTAACCTCAGGGCTAACATATATATATATATATATATATATATATATATTTCATATCAAATAGAGGTGAGAAAGTTGTTCATGCAATGAATGTGTTTAACCCCTCAAACAATACTCAGGAGGAACAAATGAAATATGAGAATTCATAAATGTGACACCAAATAGTTGGTATAAGTCTAATGGATGATGAATCTTTTATGACAAAGAAGTATTAAATTTATAATAAATATAATATATTCAAACTTATGAATTACATAGTTTGTGAAGAGGGTAGTGGAACAATTGCTTAACAAAAAAATGTCAATATTGAAGAATTAATTTGGCTTTTGTCGTAGTAGATCTAATGCATATACAATTTTTATGCTACAATAAATCATGGAATAATATAGATTATATGGATTAGAACTTTATAACGTTTTTATGTTGTTGAAAAGGTATGTGATGAGTATTATGAGAAGTGATTTGATGTGCAAAAAGAAGGAAATGATATATTAAAAGGTGTGTTGAAGCTATTAATGATACAAAGAGTTTCCCATAACAAAAGGATGTTTATTAGAGATATTAAACTCTTGTTTCTTGTTCAATTCTTATATATGGGCAACATAGCTCGAATTCATATTGAGAAGATTTTATTTTATTATAATTTTGTAAAAAATGTTGGGATAAATATATGATAAAGAAAATATTATTAAAAAAAAGTGATAACTAATTATGATAGGTGCGAGTGTCATAGATCTATTACAAGGGAATTAGAATAATATGTGAGGCTATGACTTTTAAGTTTAACTGTGTTGTTATGCAGTGCCTTGGTAATCGGAAAGACTTTGCAATAAGAAAGCATCATGGATACTTGAAGTTTAAGTTTCCTAATACTATGATTCTATGCTATATGGATTTAAATGTTGGACAACAAATAAACCATTTATAGCTAATATGAGTACGTGAATTTTAAAATAAATGTATGATAAGAGTAAGAGTGATAAGAGTGTGAAATTATCATACTATAGGGATGAAGGGAGGCATTTGTTGAGGATAAGATATTAGAAATCAAGCTTAGGTGGTTTTGGCATGTAAAGTTGAAGTAAAAGATCTATCAAGATACAGAAGCATCATAGATGATTGAAGTTTAATTTTTCTAAAATTATGATTTTACGGTATATGAATGTAAGTGTTGGAAAACAAGGAAATCATTGATAGCTAAGTTGAGTATGATAAAAATATGAATATTAAAATAAATGTATTATAAGAGTAAGAGTGATAAGATTGAGAAATTATTATAATATAGGGATGACGGAGTTGTTTGTTGAGGATAAGATATTAGAAATCAAGCTCTGACGATAAAGTTGAAGTAAAATATCTATCAATAATGCAACTAGATTGATATGATGTGTCGTGTTTAAAGAGTGAGGAGATACCAAATATGGTTTGTAGAAGTTAAAAAAAAAAAAACTGAGTTGAGTAAGAAGCTTTTGTAGTGCAATATGAATAAACGGAGAAAAATAATTCATAATGTTGAAGACTAAATTATATAGATAACTGATGCTGCGGATTGCGACGAGTTGGTCGATCACGACCTAGAACTTGATGAAGCAGTGGTTGCAGCTCTTGGTGAGTCACGATTCACACAAGGCAGAACAGATGGGGGGTGCAAGCTAATTCGGCTGCTTTATGGGGCAAGGAGGATGCTGTCGCTACTGCTGGGCGAGAATCACACCCAGAATCAGCCATTCCTTCTCGTATGGCTGCGATCACTGCAATTTGAATGATGAAATGGAAGATTCCGAAGCTGCGATGGTTATGAAGGCATATCAGAGAGCGATGCTGCTTCCGACGAACAGGAGCTGGAGGATGATCGTGATTTCCCACAGGAGCAGACCGTTGAACTGCGCGAACAGGTCAGCAATTCAAACAATAACGCTCCATGTGTGGACGTCAATATGGCTTTGAATGATTGTGCTGGAATGGTAGAGAATTTAGTGTTGAATATGGATGCTATTGGAAGCTTAGGAAACAGATGTATAAAATCCAAGAATTCAACCATGAATGGTGATCATGATGCAGCCAAGCTCACTAAAGGTGTTTGTGGAAATGCCACAATGATGCATAACTCAAGTTTCCACCAAAATGCTGCCCCAAATCAGCATCCCAGTAGTCCATCTTCGCAGTCAAACACTCCTGCTGCTCCAAATGCTTGGAAGCGGAGATGTTTTATCAATATTATGCCTATAGACAAAGCGCAAATTGTGGCTGCAGATGGCGTCTGTTTCTCTTGACATGGTTGCTATTAATGACAACTTAATGAAGTTGGAGAATGCTTTAGTTGGCAGGTTATTTGAAAAAAATATACCTCTTTTTTATCTCAATGCCTGTATGCCTCTCAGCATAGGTATGGATCAGGTATTGAGTGACCAAGTAAGAATACAAAATAAATTGTCTATGACGGTTCTGTCAGTCCCAACAAGTCCAAATGAAAAAAGAAAAAAGAAATTTTTTTTAAATAATATTCTCGAGCCTTTATTGTAAAAAGTTTTTGGCTAGCCAGTCTAGGAGGGCTACATTACTGAGGTGATTCCTATGATAACGCCCTGGTTCAAGGCGTCAGGTGATGAGGTGCTTTTTTCTTTAATGCATATTTTTTAATGAATTGAAAAGCAGACAAAACTATCTTACATAAGTACTAAATTATGATAAACATGTTTGAGAACTAATTTTCTTTGAAAATAGCTAAAAAGGATTATAAAAAAGCCTTGACGAACTGTGTTCAAATAAATCAACGATGCATGTAAATATGAAACAAAATTTTTTTTTTTTAACATTTGAACCAAAGAAATTTCAGATATTTTGGATTGGATAAACCTGATTCCTCTTTCTTCTATTTCCTATTTGTTTCATCTCTTCAATTCTCTTTATTTTACTTGAACAAATCTTTCTTTGTTCTCTCTAATTTTATCCTACAGTGCATGCTCAATACTCATTACATCATCTCTGCCCCTTTTCTATATATTCTCATTTGTTGTAAATGTAACAAACATGCCATGGATTTCAACTCTCACTTGCTTGATTTACTGCTTTGCAGTGATACTCTGCCTGCAGCAGAAATGAATTTGCCTGCCATTGGACTCGAATTATTGCGAGGAAGGATGTTGGGGAGCGGTGGACTTCGGCGAGGAGCTGCGTAAAATTTATATTTTGCACCTTTTAATTTTGTTTCCTTTCTCTGTTTAAAAATGGAATCTTATTTATGCTGTGTGCTAATCTGCCATATTACCGACATGGTGCTTTATTGCATGCGACGAGTGAAGTTTCTCTTTTTTCTGTTTGAGATATTTACTGCTTTTCCTACTCGAGTGTTTGATTGTATTATTAGATTGAGCAGAATTTGAGGTATGGTTCTGGTTATATGAATATATTACTAGTACACTCTCACTCTCTTCAACCCCAATTTTCTTTGAAAATCTCTCTATTTAGCTTTCATTTTTTTAGATTGATTGGTGTAGAGCTCAATATTGGACCCGACCTGGAAATTTTGGGTTTGGGTTGACCCGAACCCGAAAACTCCACTCTCTTCTGCCCATTGCCTGTGTTGCTTGCCCCGGCTGCCCCCCAGCCTCGCGTTGGCTGCTTCGGTTGCCTCGGCTACCCGCTACCCCGCGATGCCTGCCCCGGCTGCCACGAGACCGTGTCAAATCTGACTCAAATCGCAATGTGCCGAGCTTCGAGACATTGAGCCGCACGACGCGCGTCTCCCGCTGTCGTCCTCCACTGGCGGCCGCTGCCTGTACCATTGCGTGTAGTATTGCCTACACGGCTGTACGCCTGCATCGAAGCGGGTCGGGTTCAGTCCGGAAAATTGACCCGTTTGCGTTGGGTTTACCCGAACCCGAATAGTGCCGGGTCAGTTTTAGGTTCGACCTTAACACGACCCATGACCCGAAATTGATACCCCTAGATTGGTGTAAATTGGCCAAGTTGAGCATTGCCTAGTTTCTCTTGAAGATTAAAAATCTTATTTTGAGAGAGAGAGAGAGAGAGAGAGAGAGAGAGAGAGAGAGAGATTAACTTTGCTTGAGCAGTTGGGTGACTGGGGACAAGTATCGTATCTATTTTAAACAGTTCAGGTAGTTAACTGTATGTAACTTATAAAATTTACCGTTTTGAAAATCAGCCAATAGTTCCAGCAGGTTTTCTTCATGACGGCTTTAATTAAATGGTTTAAATGGCTTGATCACGCTCATTAATGGCAATTAAATATACCATTTATACAAATTAATAAGAATAGATTTGAGTTTGGCAAGCAAAAAAAAGTGCGAAAATATAATTTTACAAAGCAATTTATTCGAAACACAATCAAAATCATTGGACGTGCGGATAGATGCACAATGGAATCATATGCTGTAGTTTTGGATGATTTTTTTAATGCATAAACTAAATTTTTAGCACATAAATTAAATTTTTTATATAAAAAAGTATTTTAAACAGTAAGAAAGCCGCTCAAAGGAAGCCTAAATGTGAAATGCAGTCAGTGCTGAGTTCTGCTTAAACGGAAAAATCTGAATAAATTTTAATGGTCTATTTTTCTGGTCTAATATTAAGAATACTTGCAATAGTAGTTAGATGCAAAATAACAAATAAATTTTCTTTTTTTTTATATACTTTTTTTGGTATTATGAGGACGGTATAGATTTATTTATATTACGAACAATTATTGGATAAGATCCATATTTTCAGACTTGTATTAATTATTGCTAATTTAAACTATTAGCTATCGTTCACTTGAAAAAAGAAGCAATTAGGTACATCAAATGAACTACCATTGCCATATGATGGTCCATTAAAGGAAGCGTTTGCATAACTATATTATATAAAGTAGTTTGCAATAATTTATTAATCATGATTCTTTGTTGAAGTACTAATCTACCATTATATAAATCATAATCAAAATTAATTAAGATTGACCATAAAAATAAAAGTAAAATATTTACAAGCATACCATAAAATGCTTTTATATTTTCATGTTCAACATTTTAATATTTGTTTATTTATATAAAACTTAATTCAATAAATTATATTAAAAATATAGTTATCTTTATTTAAAATAAATATAACTTTTATCCATATATTATAATATGATATAAACAATACGAATTATATAAATATTTCATACATCTAAATAGTGTTACATATATAAATCACTCGTACTGCCCAACACAGCTGACATCCACAAATAGAAGATTATTCTGTGCGGACGCCGAACGTAGCTCTACATCCGGAGATCAACTAGAACAAATCACATCGGTACCGCACTCGGTACTGCTGACATGACTATTCTAATTGGTCTCCGATCATCTGCACAAAATAATTTCTCCACAAATAGACATACTAATATAGGCATACAGATAATCTGAAACAGTTTAAAACAAAGTACGTGTAGAAATAGCCAAAGGCGTAACAGTAATAGTTTAAGAGACACTGAATGGTTGGCCCTCAATACAGACTCCAAGAAGCTTAATGCCCTTATCTTTATTGCAGAAGGGGCATTATGATGAACATAGCAAAGTTCGTTCTTCCTCTGTCTTAAGCTTAAAACTAGTAAGCCTAATAACACATTTGATACATTGCCAGGCGTATTACCAAGGCAAATTGGAGGTCAAGCTCGGAGTTTTATTTTGGCTTATCCCCCGAGCAGACTCCAGAACATAAGGGACTTAGCACACACATCACAACAAGAACTTTTGAGACCTTCCAAGCTTGCGCTTTACCAGAATTTTGGATTCATGACAATCAAAAGTCTTTTTCTTTTTTTTTTTTTCATATTGAAAACAGCCTCAGAAGCATTATATGCCTTCTTTCTCACACAAATCTAACAAGGCCAAGGTCTGCATGCAAAAAGGCAAACATTTAATCAGTCAAAATTAAGATAAATTCTTCTGTAGATATCTATTGAATAATGCGGGTCATTTTCGACAACAGCTATTTTCTTAATATAAATTGATGAAATAATTATATTTTACCCTCATTAATTTGTAGTTATAAAGCACATAACATAATACAACAACAACAATAATAACAAGTCTTTGTCCCACTACTTGGAGTCGGCTACATGAATCCTTTTTCTCTATTGTGTCATGTTAAAAGTCAAATTCTCATTTAAATCTAATAAAGAAATATCATTTCTAATATTTTCTAACTAAGTCTTTTTAGGTCTACCTCTATCTTTCTTAACATAATTCAAATCTAATACCTCTACTTTCCTAATCGGATCATCGAAAGCCTGTCGTTTTATGTGAGAAGCACATAACATGATGTGATTTAAAAATATAGACACATCACAAAAGTACTTGAAACGAAAATAAGACCATTATGACATAGGGTGAAGCTTTACTCCATCCTCTTCCTGTTTTACTCGAGAAAATAACTTTTTCCTTACACAAAAAAAAAAAACCCACACTTCTCTTCATCATTATACCAATCTCTGAAACCCACACTTATCTTCAACTTTTAAACATTAAATAGGACCAAAAAAAAAATAAAACAGACGAAGCATGCACATAACACACTATGCAAACTAGAGCAAAGGTTGAATGCAATAGATTGCATTAACATAACAGAAAGTAAGAACCTACAATTCCATGTAGAATTTAATCAGATGAAACATGAATACTGCACTGGTAAATGATTGGGAACGAGAAAGAAAAGTGCAATTGCACTAAATAGTACTTCACCTCTGCAATTGAGAGCTCAAGGCGAAATTTGGGGCCATCATAGTGGTGCAAAACAGGCCTAAATGCATCTTCTTCAAGGGGCTTGCAGAGCTTTCTAACGCGAATCCTTACCTACAATTTACCAAGAAGATGACTTCAGCACAAAATTATTCAATTTTGAAATATTAAAGATCAATGAAGCTCCTGTTTAACAAAATTTTGCTCACCTGTGCAGGAAACCTAGACTCTCCTTTACACTTCTTATCCTCCCAGGCAGTTGGATCAATATTAGAACCACCAAAACTTGCAGCCTGCAAGGTGGGAAAACAAAGCCGGATGAAGTAAAAAATATGGATTCAGATTGGAAGTAAAAACATTACAAATATGAAAACACACGCTATATGACTATCCTCAAAATCATTACGTGAATGAAAACTCCTCTGGTTTCATCCCGCAAGGCAAATCGCACAAATTCCACAAGAACATACAACTAGCAAGTTCAAAATTTAGCATCATCAAGTGAGAATCTCAATAATTCCACAGATGATCATAATATTTAAGACAATTGGTCAGAAGCATGGGAATACTTCAGGCACAATTTTTACTTGTGGCAATTAGAAGCAAAATTCCATGCAATTATTCATGGTTTCTTCTTTGAATATACTAGGAAATTACTTGCGTGAGTTAAAAAAATTATTAAAGAATAAATAAACTTAAAAGAAACATTGATATAAACCAAAATGCCACCCAACCCGCAAGGAAGACAGAAATGGCTAAAAGGTCAGCAAATAGAACGAAAAAAAAGAAGTCTGTATCTAGTATGAACAGTAGTAAGAGAGGCATACATCAAAAATTCCATGAAGCTGATGAGTTGTGTAGTTGTACAGGAAAAGAGGTAATCCTGGAGTAATTGCGCGGACAGAGTCACGGTATCTTGGAGGTAAACCTAAAAAATCAGATTTATTAGCACATCGTCAATTATTAAATAACGGTAGAAACAATACATTATTTGTTTAACTGCATGAGATATCCCTGTGAGTTATAACTAATAGAATGCTTATGCAGATTGCAGTAAATACATGCTTGAACACCTACAATCATCTCAAATATTTAGCCAATAAACTTTGCCTTGAAATTAGAAAATTAAATGGATGAATTATGGTTAATATAATTATATTGCAATCTAATTTTGAGTCTGAAAAGAGTAAAGGTCGAACTGAAAAAGAAAAAAGAAGTGAATAGCATCTTCTGTGAGCAAATAACTGATTAACAAATTTTGTAAGATGAAATTTAGCATCCCTAATACAGGAAATAAGACAAACTTTTATGGCAATCCAAAAGCTACCAAAGACTAATTTTATGGCAACAGCAGGTGTCAAAACATGCCTATGCTGACCACCACTGAAGGAGAAGGTTTCAAGTTAAGTGACTTGATACTTGGAGATCAAGGAACTCAAATTGATGAATTTATTTTTCAAATCAACTCAATTTAGATTTAGAAATTTTCTATTTTATGAATGAAATTATCCTCATCAAACAAACTTTGTCCATTTTGATAGCTAAAAATGATTGGAAGTTCTTTCATTGGGCAAACCAATCCTATCAAAACCACAGTAAAATTGCATTTAGTATCTTATCCTCAAAGCTTCGTTCACCTCCTCCAGTCATTGATCATAGAAAGTTGACTTAAGATGAAATTGGAACCTATAAATAGGAAGCTTTTGC